ATTTTTAACAAATGTGTACGAAATCCATTTTTTAAACCGCTATGTGTCAAGTTTTTATTTCCGTTAAGCAATTTCCCTTTTTAATGCCGATATTCCATTACCCTAGCGTCGTTTTTGTGTATCTTTTGCTAAGTTAGGCAGACCACCGTATTTGGGGCAGCGTCGTCCTTATCTCTATCCCGTGGGTCCCAGGCTTCTCTATCCCGGGGGTCCCAGGCTTCTCTATCCCGGGGGTCCCTCTCTCTATCCCGGGGTCCCAGGCTTCTCTATCCCGGGGGTCCCAGGCTTCTCTATCCCGGGGGTCCAGGCTTCTCTATCCCGGGGGGTCCCTCTCTCTATCCCGGGGGTCCCAGGCTTCTCTATCCCGGGGGTCCCAGGCTTCTCTATCCCGGGGGTCCCAGCTTCTCTATCCCGGGGGTCCCTCTCTCTATCCCGGGGGTCCCTCTCTCTATCCCGGGGGTCCCAGGCTTCTCTATCCCCGGGGGTCCCAGGCTCTCTATCCCGGGGGTCCCAGGCTTCTCTATCCCGGGGGTCCCAGGCTTCTCTATCCCGGGGGTCCCTCTCTCTATCCCGGGGGTCCCTCTCTCTATCCCGGGGGTCCCTCTCTCTATCCCGGGGGTCCCAGGCTTCTCTATCCCGGGGGTCCCAGGCTTCTCTATCCGGCGGGTCCCCTCTCTCTATCCCGGGGGTCCCAGGCTTCCTATCCCGGGGGTCCCAGGCTTCTCTACCCCGGGGGTCCCAGGCTTCTCTATCCCGGGGGTCCCAGGCTTCTCTATCCCGGGGGTCCCTCTCTCTATCCCGGGGGTTCCCAGGCTTCTCTATCCCGGGGTCCCTCTCTCTATCCCCGGGGGTCCCAGGCTTCTCTATCCGGGGGTCCAGGCTTCTCTACCCCGGGTTTCCCCAGGCTTCTCTATCCCGGGGGTCCCAGGCTTCTCTACCCCGGGGGTCCCAGGCTTCTCTATCCCGGGGGTCCCAGGCTTCCCTCTATCCCGGGGGTCCCCAGGCTTTCTCTATCCCCGGGGGTCCCAGGCTTCTCTATCCCGGGGGTCCCTCTCTCTATCCCGGGGGTCCCAGGCTTCCTCTATCCCGGGGTCCCAGGCTTCTCTACCCCGGGGTCCCAGGCTTCTCTATCCCGGGGGTCCCAGGCTTCTCTATCCCGGGGGTCCCTCTCTCTATCCCGGGGGTCCCAGGCTTCTCTATCCCGGGGGTCCCAGGCTTCTCTACCCCGGGGGTCCCAGGCTTCTCTACCCCGGGGGTCCCAGGCTTCTCTATCCCGGGGGTCCCCAGGCTTCTCTATCCCGGGGGGTCCCAGGCTCGGGGCTTTAGGGATAACAGAGCTGTGGCATGCGGTGCGATCTCCTACCAGGGACATGCTAGGGGGTTATGGAGCTGATCAAACCCGCAACTGATAGAGTTCATACCTATCCACTCAGGCCACATACACATTCGTCACATACACATACGTTCAAATTTAGTATTTTGTATTACTTGAGAATATTATGGGACTAGCCTTGTCTAACGAAGTCTACGAACATCACACCACAATTACATACACATTCGTCCAAAATTTAGTATTTTGTATTACTTGAGAATATTAAGGGACTAGGCTTGTCTAACGAAGTCTACGAACATCACACCACAGTTACATACACATTTTTCAAAGTTTCGTATTTTCTATTACTTGAGAATATTAAGGGGCTAGGCTTGTATCGCGAGTCTACGAACATCACACCACAGTTACATACACATTTTCAAAGTTTAGTAGTTCTATTACTTGAGAATATTAAGGGGGCTAGGCTTGTATCCGCGAGTCTACGAACATCACACCACAGTTACATACAACATTTTCAAAGTTTAGTATTTTCTATTACTTGAGGATATTAAGGGGGCCTAGGCTTGTATCGCGAGGTCTACGAACATCACACCACTGTTACAGTGCGCTGGTCTGTGTGTTGCTCTACATACAAATATATCACATCGTTTTATATATCAAAGCAATGATTACATAACAAAGTTAAGCACTTCATTGATTAACACAAAATTACCATATAATGAATGAAATATATGAATAGGCTACTTGATCTGATCCAGTATGTTCAATTCACCTTCGTGTTAAAATTTACAGTGTGCCCTAACTACCTCAAGTTAATCCGGTTTCTTGACGCTTAGATCTGGCTACCTACAGTAACGTGGGCTATAATTTTACATTTGTTTTTGTGTTTGCTCCGAAATGACAAACTACCAAACACATGCTAGATCTGTACAATTTATGTCAATCTTTTCGATGGCGTCATTCAAGAACAATTTTAAATAGAATTTTTTTTTTCAGTTTTAAAATTTACAGCTGAAATATGAGTTAGGGGTCAGCCATAAATGACGTCACGCTTTTTAAAAAGATTTTTTTTCCTATCGTCACACGTGGACATAAAAGCCAGAAACCCACCCCCCCCCCCCCTGTTCCCCAGTCTCCCTCACCCCTTCAAATAAATTACATCTCAGCTTACAATTCCCTCAAGACTGGTGTTTCTGTTTTTTTTAAAATGTTAAATTCTATCTCAGCTAATTACTGAGCCTTGTATTACAATTTACATAAAATAACGATAAATAAACGATTAAAAAAGTAGTTCTTTGCTTTCCTTTTAAAATGTCCAAAGCGTGTTGTAACACTTCTGAGCTCCCCCCCCCCTCTCATCTCATATCGTCAAAACAATTCGAATCTCTTCCCCCCCCCCCCACCCACCATACTCCCTATCCCTATCTCCGAGGAGTATGGCGTCTTTTCAAGGACAAAGCCTTATCAAAATGTAGTTGCAAAAAGAAATATATTTTTTACTGCTCTTTATAAAACCATAACACCGGGTCTCAAGAAAAAAAAACTTGAATTAATAAACTTAAGTGTAACAAATGTCTCTTTATTGGACATTTGCATAATATTTCTAGAAAGATCTGGCATTCATTTCAGCGAGATAAAAAAAAAACTTGCTTCCTGCTTGCTTGCATGAAAGCCCCTAATCTACAAATTGTTAAGTCATGTGTGGATCGTCTTTTTTTTTTTACTGAAAGTGTCACTTGTCTATGATAGCTGACTTTCTCGGATGCCTGATTTGTAATGGATAACCCGACGGAGACGATGCATGACTTGTAATGGATATGGATAACCGACGGAGGGCGATGCCTGAAATGGATAGATGAACGACACGAATGCCTGAGTGGCACAGGGAAGTTGGCCTTAAACTAACACCTGTCTTTAAACGGAAACACGACATCCTTGTAGATACCCACAGCGAGATAGGAAAATAACTCAAGAACACAGCTCAGTTTCTTCCAGGCATCTCTGTTCCCCACCCCCTTATTACCCCCCCCCCCCCCCCCCCCCCCCGAAAAAAATCTCCTTCCCCCTCCCCCTCCCCTCCCCCCTCGAACGAAACAAAATTTTATATAGAAAATAAGACTTTTGCTCGTGTCGCCTTCCCCTGGAAAATTTTGCCCCCTCCCCCCCCTCCCCCGAATTACTTTGGAGAAAAAATTCTGAAAGAAACACTTGTACGATCTTACTATGGACATAATTCAATTCTACGTGACATCTGGTTGTCTAATTACCTCTTCGTGAAGCGTGGTCGATGATGTATTTCAAAACGTCTTTAAAATCAGCATTAAAAATATTTTGGACCTAGGAGAACTAAATAAAATCAGTCATAGCATAGGCGCAAGTTGAACAGTAAATCAGGGGGAAGTCATTAAATGTATGGTTCGATGAAGTCTAGTTAAACCAGAGCTGGGCCTGTAAAGTTTGCACAGTGTACGACGAGGCGGCGTTTAAGATATCAAATGCTGCGCATATAAATAATACATTTCAGATAATCTATGGCAAGTTTATGTTTAGCTTATCAAAAATATGGACATGTAAAATCTAAAGTTCAGATAATGTATGGCAAGTTTATGTTTAGCTATATTAAAACATGGAGTAAAAGAAATCTTTAAAAACATCGCTAGTGGGCACCTGGTTGGGTTGAAAAGAATGCAACTAATTGGTCTAAAGATCGTATAAAAGAACTACTTCTGGGCTTAAAGGTTGAAACTGAAAAAAGGAAACCTGTGAAATAAAAGAAATATCACATATCGAAGGAGAGGCTAGTGCTAATAATCGAAAAGCTAAATTAATATTTTTTTATGAGTTCGAAATTAAAGGAGAATGGTCAGGTATGTTGAAGGATGACATAAAGTCTTATAAAGGAAAGTTTGTCATACCAAATCTTAGTGAGGAGAACGAACCCAGTGATATTGATGTCAATGTAACAGCAGATAAAAGTTCTAATGAAGCCCATGAATTAAAAGACATTTTTTAGAACTCAAGGAACTGAACTTATACGCCAACAGCTTGCTAAATACATATCTGATCTCAAAACTGAATATGGTCAAAACATAATTCTTCCAACAAAATCTAGTGATACAGCTCAGACATCTCTACCTGTCCATAATAAAGAGAATAAACCCAAACAAGAATTAAACAAGTTTGTAACTATAAACAATGGTAAACAACCTGAAGTAGGCGTTCGAATTCACACAAAAACTTTGACCATGTCTGAGTCTTTTAACTGTCAGGCGTCCTGACCTCTATAGGGCATTAACATACAAACCAATGGTGGAAGCTTATATGGGATCTGGCATCACATTTTGAACCAATCAAAGGGGAAAAAGTTTCATTAGCTGGTGGAAATATAACAGGAGAATTTGTTGATTTTGGTGCCTGACCAAAAAATTGTCAAAAGGTGGCGAGTTAAATCATGGCCGTCTGAATTCTGAAGTAACAATAGAATTAATAGACAAGGAAGGGACGACAACTTTAAACTTGAAGCAAACGGGCATACCAGAAACTGAAATTGACAAAACAAGAGAAGGGTGGAAAGAAAATTATTGGAATAGAATGAGACAAATATTTGGCTTTGGTAGTAGAATTTTCTGACATTTGTTTTTTGTACAATGTAAGCATTTAATATTTGGTACACCATGCTTCATCATTTTTCCTGTGTGTTTGATATAGTATGAAAGTTTTAAAATTCATTCTTAAGTTATCAAAAAAATTAAATGATTTTGAAAATTTCAATTTTTAAAATACAAAAAAAAAACTTTTTGCAGTAGCTTTATCTTGGGTCACATCTCTTCTGTACATAAATGGTAGTAAACAAGTGAATGATATTGGCTGCCAGAAATGTTTTTTTATGCCATATTTAATAAATTATGTAAAGTCTAAAAAAAAAAAAAAAAAAAAAAAAAAAAAAAATTGACATGTAAATTCTAAAGTTCAGATAATGTATGGCAAGTTTATGTTTAGCTATATCAAAAAAATTGACATGTAAATTCTAAAGTTCAGATAATGTATGGCAAGTTTATGTTTAGCTATATCAAAAAAATTGACATGTAAATTCTAAAGTTCAGATAATGTATGAGGTTTAGCTATATCAAAATATCAAAAGCTGGTCACGAAGAGTTCACATAATGTACGGCAAAGTGACGTTTGACTGCCTAAATCTGCTCGCGAAATTTCGAACGTTGAGTCTGAAATGTGGCGCTGATTGTATCTGATGAATTATTTTTTTTTTTTGCCGTTTTTCCCCCGCTGTCATTTAGAAATAAAATAATTAATTCTTACCTGGATTTGGCCTCTTTTCTCAAAAGTTCACCCTTTTTTTTTTGCACGTTTGACATTTGAACCTATACTCTCTAGATGAGACGTTTTTCAACCTATATAATTATTACCAATCAAGATAAATTTTGCAAATTTTGCAATAAAATTGAATGACCTCTACCTGGCGTATACCAGAAGGGTCAACAACCTCTACCATGGTCTAAACCCCCAGGTACTTAGATCTAAGACAGACGGACATCCAGACATTCGATGGCTACATCAGATCACCTGCCACACAGATTCCAATCAGTGAATACAAATCTAATTTTAGGAATTAGGAATCGATTTATTATCTTATTGGAGACGTTTATAAAAAGCTGTTGGATGGGACCCGCCCCTGACATTTGTCATCTGGTTGATACATTTGACAGCATGAACTTAACTGGCATTCAGCTATGGTTACCTGTACAGTCCCCGTGATTAAGAAACTTACCTGTGAAATACAGGTATGTATGCCAGGTAGCCTGAAGCCTACCCGCGTACCTGCGGCTGTCAAATCAAAGTACAGGTTTAGATAGTTTAGGATTAGGGTGAAGATTATGGTGTGTTGTTAAAATAAAAGATAGTTTTTGTGTTGACAAAATTTTAACACCACATCTTGATGTGTATGTGTTGTTGTAAAATTCTCTTTCTGTTTTGAATTTGTTTGTACTTAAATAGACCGGATGACACCCCTACACTTGGTT